GCCATGCCTGAGCGATCGATTGAAATATTTGTCCTCTGGTTCTCCGAAACGGACGTAAACCGGCACCGCACGTGAAAAATAATTTCCCGACTGAGAAAATGCATGTGAACTTAAGTCGGAAAGCTCTAATAACCAACACACAACACATCTTTGTAGTAACGCAAGTGTCCATTCTGACTTAAAAGCACAACTCGGGAAATTCCGAGGAGCGAGGAGCACGTGAATGCAGTATTTATTACACTTGCTCTGATGGCAGCAGGTAGACACAGTCAGCTAGCTAGCTAAGCTAAACATTCTTAAATTAAAATGCCTAAAGCTAAACTTCCCTTGACATTACTTGCAAATGAGAAGCGTTTCTAAACCTGTTGTCCAGCAAAAGAGAACACTATAACATTTTTACTCCACAACTGCTTCCTTTTGTGATCTGATGTGGCTTCTTGTCACAGAATGAGGCAGAAAATATGTTCTATACTGCAAAAAGCATATGGTAAACAACTATGTTGATTAGCAATGGATTATAGATATACTTAATTACGATGGAAATACCAAAGATGGCTTGAATAACACAGATAAACTATATATTGTCGCAGTCGAGTGTTTATTGTCTTTGTTTTATCATTCAAAACGTTTATATCTTCTGTTTACTTCTGTTTTGTCTTTGTCCATATTAGGGATTTCCTGAGTTTCCTTCTGTGATGCACATGTGGAGATTCTGCGCGAGGGCGCCCTCTGGCGTCCAGTATGAATGAAACAGACATTAAATGAGTTTATAGCGCTCAATAATGGCCAATCCATCCTATTTGGGTAATTTTCTTTTTAAGTATCGGTTCAGGCACCGGTACCGTTTTAAAAGTATCGATTTGGCACCGGTCTCGTAAAAAACCCAAACGATACCCAACCCTATCCCTGATATTCCATGACTTGGAAGAAAAATATAAAATTCCCTGACTTTCAAATGTCTGGAATAGACCTTTTAAAATTCCATGATATTCCAGATTCTTAAATTAAAATGCCTAAAGCTAAACTTCCCTTGACATTACTTGCAAATGAGAAGCGTTTCTAAACCTGTTGTCCAGCAAAAGAGAACACTATAACATTTTTACTCCACAACTGCTTCCTTTTGTGATCTGATGTGGCTTCTTGTCACAGAATGAGGCAGAAAATATGTTCTATACTGCAAAAAGCATATGGTAAACAACTATGTTGATTAGCAATGGATTATAGATATACTTAATTACGATGGAAATACCAAAGATGGCTTGAATAACACAGATAAACTATATATTGTCGCAGTCGAGTGTTTATTGTCTTTGTTTTATCATTCAAAACGTTTATATCTTCTGTTTACTTCTGTTTTGTCTTTGTCCATATTAGGGATTTCCTGAGTTTCCTTCTGTGATGCACATGTGGAGATTCTGCGCGAGGGCGCCCTCTGGCGTCCAGTATGAATGAAACAGACATTAAATGTGTTTATAGCGCTCAATAATGGCCAATCCATCCTATTTGGGTAATTTTCTTTTTAAGTATCGGTTCAGGCACCGGTACCGTTTTAAAAGTATCGATTTGGCACCGGTCTCGTAAAAAACCCAAACGATACCCAACCCTATCCCTGATATTCCATGACTTGGACGAAAAATATAAAATTCCCTGACTTTCAAATGTCTGGAATAGACCTTTTAAAATGTCATGATATTTCAGAAATTCCATGGCAACCCTGGCTCACCTTCTCTCTGAAGAACCTGCCACTCTCCAGCGAGCCACGAGCTCTGCGAGGCGTACAGGACGGTGTAGTGCGTGACGGACAGGTCCGGCTGATCCGGCTGCTTCCAGGACACCAGCGCCGTGTCGTCCTCGATCAGACTCACTCGCACGGACCGCGGCGGAGACGACGGGGCTACCGGGAAAAACATCAAGGGCTCAATCTCACAGCAGGTTACGCTCACAGTCTTCCCTCGCGTCACAAACTTACAACATCAACAAATAAATCTGCCAGTCTGGACTACGGTTATTAGAGTGAAGTAAAACTAAAACCATCAAAAACATATGCTTTACTTGAAATAAAATAAACTTGAACTGAAATAGTTGCCAAGGTAACATTTCCTAATTTCATTTAGTTTAACTTAATACTTTATACTAAAATAACTAAAACTGTGAATTCATATGATGTTACTTTGAACAAAATAAATGTTAACTGAAATAAAATAAAATATAAAAACGTATTTTATTTCAACTTGTTGCCTCCATTTCTTATTTTTCTGCACTAAAATAACTCAAACTAAAATAAAAATCAATAAAAATGATATAAACACTAATAAAAATGACAAAACACGCAGCAAAATGACTAAAACTTTAAGTCTTTACAATATGCAAACAACTAATTTGGTGGAGAAACAATACTAGTCTGGACCAGGAATATTATAGTTAAAACCATTAAAAAAGCATCTACTTTACTTGACATAAAATAAACTGAAATAAAAATGAAATGCTAAAAAAAGTTTCATGTACTTTAACTTGATGTATTAAAATAACTAAAACGGAATAATTAAATTATATTAAAAAAACAAAACGAATAAAAATGTCAAAAACACAAAACAAACCGATTAAAACTTTCAATAAAATGTTAAAATAAAATGATATGAATAAAAATTAAATCCGAATTTGAATAATAACTATAATAGTATCTCAGTGGGCCGGTACCTTCCAGTAGAGTCCTCTGATAGACGCTGGCGCTCCAGGGACTGGACATCTGATCCATATGAAGACGCACTGCAAACTCATAACGCGTGTTCGGCCGGAGACCCGTTACTGTTACCGTTTGCTCAGAGCTGAAGAAAGAGAACACAAATATGGGCCCCACTTTATATTAAGTGGCCTTAACTACCTGAGGGTGCAAAAAAATCTAAGTATTGAGAAAATCATCTTTAAAGTTGTCCAAATGAAGTTCTTAACAACTTGGAACATGATCTTTACTTAATATCCTAATGATTATTGGCATAAAAGAAAAATGGATCATTTTGACCCAAACAATGTATTGTTGGCTATTGCTACAAATATACCCCAGCGACTTAACACTGCTTTTACGTTTAGTCATTTAGCAGATGCTTTTACCCAAAGTGACTTACAAATGAGGACAACAGAAGCAATCAAAATCAACAAAAGAGTGCAAGTGCTATAACAAGTCTCGGTTAGCCCAACGCAGTACACGTAAGCAAGGTTTTTTTATATACATATATTATACACACACACACACACACACACAAAGAAAACAAGTAGATAAAATAGAAAAATAATATAGAAAGTTAGTGTTAAGCCCCGTTTCTTTCTTTCTTTCTTTTCGCATATGATCTGCGAATCCTCGAGCTAATTAATTGCTGTTGACGTCAAGCCTGTAGTGATTAATGAGCACTCACGTTTGGACGTAGCGCATGGTCGCGGCGTCTGATGGACTCAGGGGCCCGTAGCGGACGGAGTAACTGACGTGTTTTCCAGAACTGAACGCAGGGCGGCCCCAGCTCAGACTGACCACCGAGGAGCTGTTGGCTGTAGCGTGGATGTGGTCAGGAGACGGCAGGGCAGCCAAACGCCGGTTCGGTGCGGCTGACAGACACAGAGACACGCTCAATTACACAGCCAAGCTTTAGCTTAGAAGACAAATGCTTCAAACTGCTTGAAATAAGAGGATTTAAACTGGTAACATTAGCTTATCCTTGCGAAAAGAGGTACACTTTCAAAAAGAGTACTTGATATCTACACTCAGAAAAAAAGGTACAAAAGTTGTCACCTTTTCAAAAGGCACACCTTTGTACCTAAAGTCTACATATTAGTACCTAAAAGGTACAAAAGTGTACCTTTAGAAAAGTGACAGCTTTTGTACCTTTTTTTCTGAGAGTGTAAATAACAACAATATACTTAAGTGTGAACTGAATGTAAAGTTTTTTGTACACTTAATTGCATGTTATTCACAATTTAATGAAAACGTAAAAGTTTACATTTATATTAATTGTAAGTAGCTGAACTTGAAAGTGCTTTTTGACCCACTTAAGTACATCTTTATATGCAATTTCATAATTACTTCTATTGTCTTTGAAATTAAGGTACTGCTGAATGTACTGCAAAAATGATCTTATTAATTATAACTTTAACTGTGGTGTATTATTTGACACAATATTTAAAATTGATATATTTTACATGCAACTTCATTACAAATATATTTAAATGCATGACAAGCAAGTCTCAATAGAAGTGACATTAACATGTTTTTTATCTTACTTGTTTTTGTCTTGTGATTCAATAAAATATCTCAACATTCGTACATCAAGATAGATTTACTTGAGACACAAAATTATTTAAGATATAGTCTAATTTTCTGACAAAATGTATCAAAACTTTTTTTCCGAGTAATTTTTGTTTTTGACTTTTTTTCAAATACAAATTAATTTTTTCAAATACAAACATCTTTAACACTCGAGATTCAAAATTACTAAAATTAATAAATTTCGTTTTTTGAAAAATGTATATAAAAAATTAAGTGAGTTTATGCATAAAACAAGAAAAAATGAAGGGAAATCAATATTATTTTTCTGACCCTGTTGGCAGATATTTGTTCTCGTTTTAATCATAAACTCACTCAGTTTTGATACATCTTGTCAGAAAACGAGACTTAATATCTCAAGTCATTTTGTGTCTCAAGTAAAGAATAACAAGCCTAAAATAAGTAAGAAAAATATTTAAAAACACTTTCATGTCATTTCTATTTAAATTTGTACGTCACGTATTTAAATGCATTTGTAATTTGTAATGAAGTTGCAATTTAGTGCATGAAAAATATATTAACTTTAAATATAGTATCAAATAGCACACTACAGATAAAATCATAATTAAGTACTTTACATGTGCTTAAGTATGTTAGTCAACACATCAAAAAGCACAATGAAGCTTATTAAAACCCTAATGATTTAAAATGTACTTTAAAGTAAATCACAAAGAAACAGTCAAGAAAGCATCTCACTAGAAATGCACTTAAGTGGCCTTAATATACCACTGAAATATCTGCAAGTACAGTTTTTAAAAATACACTTTTAAGATACAGTGCACAACAACTCTTTTTCACAAAGGTAAATATCAGTATTTATGCTAGCTGGTTTTTCTGTGTTTTTCATGCTAACAGTGAAGATTGGTTTGAAGCTTTTCTAGTGAAATATTGATGTGCAAATCCCACAGATGATGCAGAGTTCAGGTTTTGAGTGCTTTTGAACACTTACATGGACACCCTGGAGTGTTGACCGTATGATGGGCCTGATAGCCGTCTCCATTAGCACTGAACGCTAGCAGTTTCACATGGTACTTCACTCTGGGGTCTGCAAAACGATATAAATCGTGTTATTACTTAAGAAAATACATGACATAGCTCATATAGTCATACGTTTTCTGAACTGTTTATTTAAAAGGGTCTGAAATGTCTGACAGTAAGATATTAGCACTGAATGCTAACAGTTTAGCATGCTACTTCACTCAAAAGGTCTGTAGATTAATATAAATCATATATGATAAAGTTAAAAAAATACCTCATATGAGCTATATGTTGTATACAATCACACAAAAGGTCTTAAAGAGTTAAAAGCAAATGGCTAAAACGGCGGTATTAGCACTGAATGCTAACAGTTTAGCATGGTACTTCACTCAGAGGTCTGTAGAACAAAATAAATCATATCAACAACATAATATAACAACTAAAGTACCTCATTTCATTTCATAATTTTTTTTTTTATTTATGAAAAATTACACAAAAGGTCTTAAAAAGAGCAAAAACGGCGGTATTAGCACTGCATGCTAACAGCTTAGCATGGTACTTTACTCTGGAATCTATAGGACAACATAAATCATATAAATACAAAATAAAATATAGCACCTCAAATAATCTCTTTTTTTTTTCTAAATTTAGCAAAACTTCAAATACTAAATGGCTGACGTTAAGGAATTAACACCGAATGCTAACAGTTTCACAAGGCGCTCTGGGGTTTGTAGAACGACATAATAATACATAATAAAATAATCGAAGTATAATGTCATAAACTACATTAAAATTTTGTGAAATTGTGCAAAAGGCTTAAAGAGATAAAACGACATGGTTGACATTGCAGTATTAGTTCTAAAAGCTAACATGGTACTTCACTCTGGGGTCTAATTTTTTTCAATATTTTTTATAATAGGCCTAATTCATAATAAAAATGTACTTTTGACATAATAACATATTAAAGTGGCATTCGCTGTGCCCGTTTGAACAGTGGTTTATCATGTGCAGTGCATCACACAGACACTAGGTGGAGCTGTGACTCAGAGAAATCAGCATATATGGGTCATTTAATTTATGCAAATTATGCTTTTGCTGTAGCTGTAACACCAGTCACAGAAACACAGATTTCATTTATTTCAACAAAAAGGTCAACCACTTATGTTGCAGAATCACGTGAAAGCATGCAAATGTTGATCCAACGTGTGCGTTTACACATCTTGATCAAATTCAAATTCTATGATAATTCCATAGTTTTTTTTTTAAATAGAAAGTTGAAGATCTACTGTATATGACAATCCTAATCAAATTACTCATATATTTTCTTTAAAAATGAAGTTTCAAGTAAATTAAGATTTATTTTCCATTTAAATAATTGGAAATGCTCTAATAAATATTCTAACAAAATTAAAAATAGTATCAGTTTCCCAGTAAAATATTAGAAAGATAAAACATTTATATCTACATGGAAATCCTAATCAAATTACTTACAAATGTTCTTGAAAATGTAAGTTTTAAGTGCATTAAGATTTATTTTGTATTTAAAGTATTAAACATTTTCAAAGAAACTTAGAAATGTATTTATTTCCCAGTAAAAAAAAAAAATTGATGGGTAAAACGTTTCTATCTACATGGAAATCCTAATCAAATTAATCACAAATATTCTTAAAAAATTATGTTTTAAGGTAAATTAAGCTTTATTTGTGATTTTAAAACTTAGATATTTTCTAAGAAAATTAGAAAATGTATTTATTTCCCAGTTAAAATGTAGAAATGCTATGTAAATTACTCAAATGTTCTTAAAAAAAAAGTTTTAAGTGAATTAAGATATATTTCCCATTTTAAAAATGTAGATGTTTTCTGAGATAATTAGAAAATGTATTCATTTCTCACTACAAAAAGGTAAAATGTTCTATATGAAAATCTTAATCACAATTCTTTCTTAATAAAACACTTATTCCCCCATTACAAATTATCCATTGTCTAAGAAAACTAGAAAATTAATTCTGAATTTTTTTATATGGAAATTCTAGTCAAATGACTTTTAATAATTGTCTTTAAGTTTTAGGATTTATCTCCCATCAAATATTAGTCTAACCCTGACCAATTCAAACTGGAATATGCTCTTTGGTCACTTCTGCCCAGTTCAGTCCAATCCCAGAATCCTTTGTTTGCGGTAAGTGTCCAGCTGTAGGGTGACGGGGGAGGGTCGCTCTTAAACCCAAACACAATAGACGGGCATGGAGAATGCTGGGAAAGCTGGAGGGAGACATCTGGGCCGTGACCTCTGACCCTGAGGGGAACCTGCGTGACACGTACAAAGCCGAGGTTGCGGCGGACAGGGCGACCGTGCATAAGTGCCAACAGAAGAAGGCCAATTATCGACGAACACGAACATGGGAAAGATGCTAAAAGAAACTCTGGGATACTTCCTTGTCCAGTTTTAGGTTTCCACATTAATTTCTCAACATAATAATGATTTCTCAAATACGTCGAGGCTGATTCCTCATTTTAGATTAATCAAATGTACACGACTAGTTGCTTTAAGCAGGTAATTTAGACTAGAATTTATGAAAGCTTATTTCCATTACAAAATAAACCAAGGTAATTTCAACTTCTTTTTGCCCAATTCTGTCTTTTTTCCTCATAAGTCTGATTTTAAAAAGTCTGAAATGCTAGATATAAACTCGCAGAAGAAAAAGTCTTATTTGCTTTATATTGCTAGACACTCGCATTTCTGAGAAGAATTGTGAGAACTCGTAATTGCAAGAGAAAAAATGCAAATTGTGGGAAATGTATAAATCTGAGAAGAAACCTCCAAACTGCGAGATATAAAGTCAGAATTGCGAGATTTTTAACTCAGAATTGTGAGAAATAAAGTCAGAATGGCGAGATATTAACTTGCAACTGTGAGAAAAGTCAGAGTTGCAAAAAAAACTGAATTGTCAGATTAAGAAGTCACAATTACCTTTTTTTACTTAATTTTTATTCGTTGGCAGAAATAAGCCATAGGAATGAACTGGTAACCTGTTTTTGGTATTGGCAGTTGCAGGCTGTTTAAAGGGGTCCCTGGGTATTAAGACTTGTATGGCTTAATATAACGTAAATGATGTCTCCCACTGAAATATGTAGAAGAAAACCCATGAAAGATTAATGTTATTTAAAAAATTCACTTGCACTTGGTGAGCTACTGCTGTATACCTGTTGCTGTAGCTTTTTTTTTTACCACAACACAACTGGGAAAATAAAATACTGATATGATGACCACAGCTACTGAAAGAGCTTACAGGTGGAGATGGATGGCATCTAGCGTTTCTTGCCTCAGCCGTTTGTAAGCTCTTTCAGTAGCTGTGGTCTACTAAAAGCCTCAAAAGCACCAGGGCTAAAGTGGAGAGAACAAAGAAGCGGGTCTTTAGGAAGTTTTATTCGTCCACAGGCATCTTCCCTTTTCTTATCGCTAGGAAATAATGTGTTGTGTGCATGTGTGTCACTCACTGAGTCCTGTGATGGCGTGCTGGTGGTCATGTGGGGGCAGCTGGAGAAGCGAGTCCTCTGATTGGCCGTCTGGGTGAAAGGACAGCTTGTATCCCTGGAGGACGGCGTCGCTGGGAGCCGGATGCCAGCGGACCATCACTGAGGTGCAGTTCAGAGGTTCAAGCTCAAGGTTTGGCGCGGGAGGCACTGCGGGCACAAACAGACACATTAAATCAACTTCTGTACAGATTACAGAGTAAAAATACACCTGTATGCTTTCTGAGGAAAAACGGTCAGCCCGCAAAAATGACTAGTAATAGCGATGATTAAATACTTTTCAAACATTACTAATAAAACAGCACCGCTACAAGCCCACACCATACATTTATGGCTAGAAAAAGAAGTGCATTTAACATTCATAACATGACTTATTGTCATGAGTGAAATTGTGGGTGTTAAGCTATAAAACTAAATAACTTACATTAAATATTAAACTATATTAATATTAAAGCTAAATCTAATTTTCCCTGCCCAGATGACCTTGACTTCATCAGCAGAGAAAAAAAAGTTAACACAATTATATATTTTCTCTGAATAACTTTCAACTTTCTTTTTTTGTGCTATTTTTATCCCTTTTATGAATATTAGTAAACCGATTTGAATTACCATTTGTATGAAATGCACATTGTATAAATAACATTGCATAATAAATAAACTTGCCTTGTCATGCATTGACCATCGCTGCAAAAACCCTCCATCTTTTTGAGGGTGTAGTATCACAAAACAAATGGATATGAGCCAAATTAAGGTAGATTGTGCTCTCAGCCTCTCACCTGTGGCGCTGGATGTTTTGGGCGTGCGATGGGAGTTCCAGGCGGACGGTTGGCTCCAGCCCACTCGGGTCGACGCAGACATTCGGATCAAATAGATGGTGTCGGGCTGCAGACCCTGCAGAAGGTACTGGGTGCAGTTCTCACTCGGGACGGGCAGCTCGACAGAGATTACCTGCTCGTCTGTGGCCGTACGGTAGCACAGACGGTACGCAGAAACACGTCCACGGCTGAGTAAAAAATCCCACGGCACCCCACTAAGCACTAAAAAAAAAAAAAGGTAGAAAGGGGGGAATGTTTTTTTTCCCCCAATAATTACACAATGCGTAGTCAGAATTAGTATTTTGACTTTATATGTGACTCTGGAGCACAAAACTAGTCTTAAGTCGCTGGGGTATATTTGTAGCAATAGCCAACAATACATTGTATGGGTCAAAATTATCAATTTTTCTTTTATGCCAAAAATCATCAGGATATTAAAGTAAAGATCATGTTACATGAAGATATTTTTTTAATTTCCTACCGTAAATATATAAAAACTTAATTTTTGATTAGTAATATGCATTGCTAAGAACTTCATTTGGACAACTTTAAAGAAGATTTTCTCAATATTTAGATGTTTTTGCACCCTCAGATTCCAGATTTTCAAATAGTTGTATCTCGGCCAAATATTGTCCTATCCTAACAAACCATACATCAATGGAAAGCTCATTTATTCAGCTCTCAGATGATGCATAAATCTCAAATTGGAAAAATTGACACTTAAGACTCCAGGGTCACATATATGATTAGACACTTAACATTTTCTGAAAATCATGCTCAAATGGAGTTAACGAGGTTTTTGACGAACGAATGACAGATCCGTGTTTTGTCCGTAATTAGAATGGCTGCATCTGAGGCAATACATTAATCGCATTACGTTTTCATCAATATACAGGTTATAAAGTTTATTGTAGCTATATGGGTGCTCAGTTTTTCTTGTCCTTTAATACATTTAGCCAAAATCTCATGATATAAAAGATAAACTGCAATGCACAGGATATTTAAAACAAACAAAAGTGCATTGGCTACAACTAGAGGGCAAATGTTTCTTCTCCGCTCTTCAAACACACAAAAACATTAGCCTTTATAGATAGTGTTTCTTGAGTAAAGAAAACACTGTACTCTTACATTGCAAAGAAATAGACATCTGTCTTCAAACTGCGCGTCGTTGCATTGAATGGAGGCAGGGTGGAGTTATGAGGAGCTGACTGACAATTTGATGATCCAATGGCGTTACAAGGTTTAGTCACAAGCTGTTTTGGATGCTTTTCATTGGTTAAATATTTGTAAAATCCACAAACAGACATAACGATGACCAATAGCACTGACTTAAAATAGTAATAACGAAATATAATAGAGATAGGAAGTTTTTGATAATTCTCGCGGCACAGTCGTTGGGAAACACTGGTCTAAAAGTCCACAGACTCACCATCCTCCAGCGTGTGCTGCATGACCTGCTCCGACATGCGACTGGCGCCCATCGGCATGTAGGCAACGATATAAAACGTGTAGTTTCGCGCTGGTTCCAGATCGTCCACAATGTGGTTGGTCGTGTCATTCCCGATCACGGCCTGATACTCTTCGTTGTTTAGTCCTGCGAGTATAGACTCTATAATCAGTGTCGTTTCTAATTCAGTCAATGAGAATTCTCCACAATATTGGAGACAATTGAGATCTCACACTTTGATTGGTATCAAGTTAGATTACAGGTGCAGATTAGATTTGAGTTTTATCTTGAGGGCAAACTGAATGAATAGAAACCAGACACAACCATGTAGTTCTGAACACTCTTTAACCACAATAGCAATGTTTCCTGAGAACAAAATCAGACCAAAAGTTGAAGTGTATCCTCTGTTTGTTTTAACCCATTTTCTCATGTCTCTTTCTAACGACTCCGTTAATACAGAACAGAGACACAATCCTGCTAAAATTCCCTTCATTCCTGCTCTGAGGGCTTCCTAACACAAACCCAATGAATTATATCAAAAACCAAGTGAAGGCAGGTGAGCGTGAGCTTGAAGGGGTGGGATTTAAGGCGGGGCTTGGTTCTATGCATCGGTTGTTGATTGGATGTTAAGATGTGGGTGAGTGTGAGCTTTAAGGGGTGGAGTTTAAGGTGGGGCTTGGTTGTATGCATTAGTTGATGATTGGATGTTAAGATGTGGGCGTGGCACTCAAAAGTGGATGTGGGTGAGTGTGAGCTTGAAGGGGTGGAGTTTAAGGCGGGGCTTGGTTGTATGCATTAGTTGATGATTGGATGTTAAGATGTGGGCGTGGCACTCAAAAGTGGATGTGGGTGAGTGTGAGCTTGAAGGGGTGGAGTTTAAGGCGGGGCTTGGTTGTATGCATTAGTTGATGATTGGATGTTAAGATGTGGGCGTGGCACTCAAAAGTGGATGTGGGTGAGTGTGAGCTTGAAGGGGTGGAGTTTAAGGCGGGGCTTGGTTGTATGCATTAGTTGATGATTGGATGTTAAGATGTGGGCGTGGCACTCAAAAGTGGATGTGGGTACTGCGGTTTGGAACGACCCTTCAATATGGCGGCCATGATTGTTTTCACTCCGAAGTGCCCTTCGGAGGGCGATACATCCCGTTTGGAACGCACCGTGAGTGTGAGCTTGAAGGGGCGGAGCTTAAGGCGGTACTTTGGCTCTATGCATCTGTTGTTGACTGGATGTTGAAATGTGGGCATGGCACCCAAGAGTGGAGGCAGATTAGCATACGCTTGAAGGGGCGGGGTTTAAGGCGTAATTTGGTTCTATACATCGGTTGTTGATTGGATGTTGAGATGTGGGTGTGGCACTCAAAAGTGGAGGTTGGATGAGCTTGAGCTTGAAGAGGTGGCGTTTAAGGCAAGACTTAGTTCTATGCATCTGTAGTTGATTGGATGTTGAGATGTGCGTGTGGCACTTAAAAATGGAGGCAGATCTGAAAGTGAGCAGCTTGCAGTAGACGGAGTTTAAGCTGACTAAATGATTGGAGAAGTCCTGCATACGTCACCAAAGAGAAATCTCTTATTATGAAGATATTATGAGGTCAAAAAAATAGATAAATAAAACATATGCATGTATGAATTGTTCATAATAAGATCTATATAACATGCATTTAGAAAACAGACTTGTGATGACTTTCAGCAGCAAAATTTCCTCTGTCAATCAGTATCTGGTTGAAAGAGGATAACAATTAGACATAATCAGTTGGGAACTTTATGCCAGTTTCAAACACTTACCCTCAGACTTCATGTAGTGTATAGAGTAGGCGATGACTTTATCCGCATTGTACTGCGGTCTCTCCCACGCGAGTAAGATGGCCGAGCTCGAGATGGTTTCAGCATGGATGTTACGCGGTGCACTGGGACGGTCCTCCGAAAGCACCACGATGAGACGGGACGTGGACACAACCGAGCCTTGAGAGTTCTCCGCTTGGCACTGGTAAAAGGCGTCGTCTTCCGGAATAATCTGGGTTATCACCAGTTTACTGGCACACAATGAAGGCACACATGTCAGATTATGACGCTTGGTAGAGGTTTACTGGAGGTTTTTGTCTGTACGTACTTGTTGTACATCTTGGTGCGTCCATTGGAGTGGATCACCTGACCATTCTTAAACCAGGTGATTCGGGGAACAGGTGTCCCTTCGGCCTGACAGCTAAAACGGGCCGTACCAGCTCTGGGTCGGGTCTGACTCTCTGGTTTCTCTACTAGAGTCGGAGGAACTGCAAAAAATGAGTGAAAATGCAGTGAGAACAAAGATTTCAGGACTGTCCAAGAACAATAACTATAACGATACCTATAAATACAAAGAAAAGATGTCGTTGGAATCACTTTCAAAACATTGATGGCCAATCAGAATCCATCTGACTTGCTCAAGCAGCAAACGACAGAACTGCAGCACGCGCTTACAATAAAAAGAAGGTTATTGTGAGTTGGTGTGGAAGATGATGTATAAATCTCAATTTAAAAAAAATTGACACTTATGACTGGTTTTGAGGTACATGGTCACATATGGTTATCATTATAGTTATCACTATAGTTATCGTTATTGGTGCAAATATAGTTATTGTTCTTCATGTGAATGGCAAAATAGTTAGTATCGTTAATGTTATCGTTCTTGGTGTGAACACTAGTATAGTTATTGCTCTTGGTGTGAACACTAATATAGTTATTGCTCTTGGTGTGAACACTAATATAGTTATCGTTCTTGGTGTGAACACTAATATAGTTATCGTTCTTGGTGTGAACACTAATATAGTTATCGTTCTTGGTGTGAACACTAATATAGTTATCGTTCTTGGTGTGAACACTAATATAGTTATCGTTCTTGGTGTGAACACTAATATAGTTATCGTTCTTGGTGTGAACACTAATATAGTTATCGCTCTTGGTGTGAACACTAATATAGTTATCGCTCTTGGTGTGAACACTAATATAGTTATCGCTCTTGGAGTTAGTATCGTTAATGTTATCGTTCTTGGTGTGAACACTAATATAGTTATTGCTCTTGGTGTGAACGCTAGTATAGTTATCGTAAATTTATTGTTGTTGATGTGAATGCTAATATAGTTATCGTTAATGTTATTGATCTTATTTGCTAATATAGATATCAGTAAAGTTATCGTTCTTAATGTGAATGCTGATATAGTTATCGGTAAAGTTAACGTTCTTGGTGTGAACACTAATATAGTTATTGCTCTTGGTGTGAACACTAATATAGTTATTGCTCTTGGTGTGAACACTAATATAGTTATTGCTCTTGGTGTGAACACTAATATAGTTATTGCTCTTGGTGTGAACACTAATATAGTTATTGCTCTTGGTGTGAACACTAATATAGTTATTGCTCTTGGTGTGAACACTAATATAGTTATCGTTAATGTTATTGATCTTATTTGCTAATATAGATATCAGTAAAGTTATCGTTCTTAATGTGAATGCTGATATAGTTATCGGTAAAGTTAACGTTCTTGGTGTGAACACTAAAATGGTTATCAATAATGTTACTGTTCTTATTTGCTAATATAGATATCAGTAAAGTTATCATTCTTGATGTGAACGCTAATACAGTTATCGTTATTGTTCTTAATCGCTAATATAGATATCGTAACGTTATCGTTCTTAATGTGAATGCTAATATAGTTATTGACAGTTAACATTCTTGATGTGAACACTAATATAGTTATTGCTAATGTTACTATTCTTAATGTGAACGATAATATAGTTATCTGTATAGTTATCTATCTTCGTGCGAGCAGCAGACAAAAGGTACTCCTCTCAGAAAACGTACAAATAAAGATAATTTTAGATGTTTAATTACTATTTGGAGCATTGGGATCGCTAGACGAGGGCTTAAAGGGATCATCGGATGTGCATTTTCCAGAGTTTGATATGATTCTTTAGGGTCTTAATGAAAAGTCTGTAACATAGTTTGGTTAAAATTTCTCAATGGTAGTGTAAAACAACACCGTTTTTACCCTGTCAGAAACAGCTCTGTTCACAGCAAGCCGTTTTAGTGCATGTTCCTTTAAATGCTAATGAGCTCTGCTGACCCCGCCCCTCTCTTCCGAGCCGCTCTCTGAGAAACTGTAAACTTTAGCTGTATTTATCGTGAAACTTGCTAACTAGCACATTATTAGGAAAGGCGATTTGCAAAGATTCATAAAAAAACCTTATACTCACTTCTTCTATAGATGGATCACGAATGATTCGCGCGAACATAAACGCATTTAGGCAGATCGGGGGCGCATTCCCTTAAAAAACAAATGTAATCCACTGCGTCTTCAGTAATTAAATCTTTCTGAGTAAATGACGACTGCTATGTTCATTATTACATCCAACAACAGAACACCTCAATCACTTAATCATTCTTGTCTACATCTGCTCCGGCAGTGAAACAATGGCGGACTAATGACAGCTCACTCAGGGCGGGGCTAAGGTAAGACACCAGTGTCAATCAACTATCGTGGGAGGGGCCTGTGCAGAACTACATCATTCTGCCAAGAATCTGTGAACGGCTCGATATGAGAAAGGGGTTTGGATTTATCGAGATTTTAAAAAAAGCACTGGGTGGATTTTTATCATTATAGGGTTGTTGTGTACACACACTGCCAATAACACATTTCAGTTCAAACAGCATGTAAAAGTGAATTTTGCATCCGATGACTGGATGAAAACCTGAAATTTGACCAAAACCGACATTTTTCATTTTTTTTGTCTGTACCGTAGCTCAAAATTAGACCGTTTGCATTCCGACTCGTTTTGCCTAGCACGGGTCACAAATAGTTATTGTTATTGGTGTGAATGTTAACATAGTTATCGTTTTTGGTGTAAAGAGCCCTTCAGAAGTGTTTATGATGCATCTGTTCCAACAGACATCTCTTACCGAGTACGGCGAGGTTTCCGGGCGCTATGCTGTAGTTGCGTGTTCCCGGTGTGGTCGCCCGGCACAGGTACGTGCCGCTGTGATGAGCTTTAACGGCAGAGATGATCAGGTTCCCGTTTCCCAGCACTCTGGCTCCGGACACGTCTATGGGTTTAGAGTCAGCCCGGCTCCAGGACACAAGCGGCCGAGGGTTTCCCTCCGCCAAACACTCCAGAACCACAGACTGACGCAGCCCGGCGCTGATGTTCTGCGGTCCTGCTATGATGTGTGGTTTCATGAGAGGCCTCGGACCCGATGCTGGACAGAGAACAGAGAAGACTCAGTGGCAAGCTACTGCTTCCTTTATTCCAGAATTGGATCTGATAATGATCACCGTTCATCCTCACACAAACACAGACCTGGGATGATGGTCAGCTCGGCCTCTCGGCTCCTGACTCGACTGGCCATGTTTGTTGCTAAGCAGCGATAATTCCCAGCATCCCTCATTGTCACATCGTGGATCTGCAGCACTCCGTTTGGCAAAACAGTGATTCTGAAACAAGCAGAAGTACATTTACAGTTAAACACATTACTTGGTAACTCAAAGTGAGGGCTTTCGGCATGTCATTTATTTTGCATATTTTGGATTTTTATTTGCACACCTGTCTGAATCCAGAGGTAGAGGTCTTTGGTTGAGTTCCCAGCTGATAACCGCTGATCCACTGACAGCACAGGAGAATCTGGCCACAGAGCCCAGCGTGACTTCAGCAGGGACCGGGTGGGTAATGCACAACAGCACATCTGTGAAAGTCAATGGAAGAGAGAGAAATCATGAACAAAGTTTTGCATATCCAAAATCAACATTGCATCCTTTTATATGTCCATAATGTGAAATTTCTGAGTGAAAAAAAGAGATATAAATGATTCACAACAGGGTCATTATAGTTCACTAAAAAAAAAAAATGAATAAAAAAAATCTAAATAAAATACATTTTAACTGAAAATAAAATATAAAAAGCGTATACTTATTCTATTTCAGCTATTTGCAAAAGAAACATTTCTAATTTTCATTTAGTTTAACTTGATGTATTAAAATGAGTAAAACTAAAACTGAAATAAAATTAATAAAAACTATATAGACACATTTAAAGAAAAAACAACATTTAAATGACAAAAACACTCAATAAAGTTACTAAAACTTTAACAGAAATTAAAATGAAAACAGAAAATATAAAAATAAAAACAAATTCAAAATATGAATAAAACCTATAAAAGTATCTCATATTGATACTAAAATAAACCATTAAAAAAATAAACTAAAATGAAACAAAATATTTAAAAAATTCAACTTATACTTGATGTATTAAAATGAGTAAAACTAAAACTGAAATAAAATTAATAAAAACTATATAGACACATTTAAAGAAAAAACAACATTTAAATGACAAAAACACTCAATAAAGTTACTAAAACTTTAACAGAAATTAAAATGAAAACAGAAAATATAAAAATAAAAACAAATTCAAAATATGAATAAAACCTATAAATGTATCTCATATTGATACTAAAATAAACCATTAAAAAAATAAACTAAAATGAAACAAAATATTAAAAAAATTCAACTTATTTTACTTCAGCTAGTCGTCAAGGCAACTTTTTTCATTTTCATTTAGTTTAACTTGATGTATAAATAAAACTAAAAATAAAATAATTTTTTTAAAAACTATATAAAAATAAAACATTTACTAAAACAAAAATTAAAATGAAAACAGAAAAAATGTGTATCTCAATGATACTAAAATAACACTGGTTCACAAGCATGTATAAACCAAATAGAGCCCATTTAGAATTTAATATAGATCTAATTTTGTATTAAATTAATTGTTTATTAAGAGACTAGCAGTTTTTCGGACCAACGTCAACAGCAAATAGTGAAAGTTCTTGGCTTTCCTTCAAAATCAATATAAATCCCTTTAAAACTAATCAGTATACAGACACAAACGAATCCGCCATAATCAATAATGAGGTCTGAAAGATAAGAGTAAACGTAAACCAATAACACAAGACGATCTGACCGTCCTCCCTTTCTTGCTCTATCAGTTTCCTACATATTAAACACACATTTAAATGCATTTTCAGCAGCCAGCGAGATGCTGTCGCCAATAAACTTGAGCATGAAATCAGACATGAAATGATTTCCCATTTAGCTGGTGTGTTTATATGAAGCTTACAGCATAGCGCACTCAGACGGATCTTAACTGTGATTGGTTGTCTGTTAAGGGCCAGAGTGCACAGTAGCCAATAATAAACAGCTGCTCTAATCAATTAATCAATGGACCAATGACAGTGAATAACGACTTTTTATAGATCAGTGAGAATCAATGGCACTCATCTGAAACGAGTGTGTCAATATGCATGCTACTGTGGGCAACGAACAGGCTCATAATGCAGCTTGCAAAGTGTGAAATGAGGTTTGAAACAATACACAGGTGATGTAACAATCACACGTCTGTTTCTTCACCATTTTCACAAGCAGCACTAGGACAACAGCAGGATTTTTCCACATTTTTAAAAACAATAAGATAAAGACTCAGCGGTTCGAGGGACACCAGCCCCTAATTTTACCCATAAGCCACTGGGTTTCCTCCCCCTCGTGTTCCTGCTGAGTCCAGCCAGAATGCTCTAAAGGTAATCAATGAAAGTTCATCTGCTGGTAGAATCCTGCACGTCGCTCGTGTTCCATGAAGACGAAGGGAATTAAAAAGCTCCTTTATTTCCAAGTGAGGATTAATTATCGCTAACTGTCAATCAAATAACACGCTGTTATTTAGAGTGTTCAAACAGTTCAAAATTACCTTTACTTACTCGTGAACAAACATTTATTCTGCACAGAAAATACTAAACAAAACAAAACAAAAACACAGAAAAATCCTAAAAAATAAATGAATAAATCACAATTAATTGTTAATCATATAATGTGCTGGCATGGTTCAAAATGACCTTACTCATGAACAAATTAAACATTTATTCTGCACAGAAAAACACACAAAAAATGAATAATCCTAAAAAAAAAAAATACAAATAAATTCTTCCTTTATAGTGACATAAATAAAAATTACTTTTACTTACTCGTCGTGAACAAATTAAACATTTATTTTGCAAAAAAAGGAAAAATTTTATGAAAAATTAAATACAAATAAATCAAATTAATAACCATTAACTGTTAAAACAAATAACGTGCTGTTCTCCCTTTATAGTGACACAATTTAAAATAACCAAATTAAACATTTACTTTCAACAGAAAAATAGAAAAAGAGGAAAAATCCTAAGAAAATGAAAAAAAAAAAAAAATTACAATTAATTGTTTTCCCTTTATAGTGGCATGGTTCAAAATTACCTTTACTTACTCATGAACAAACATTTATTTTGCACACAAAAATAAACAAAAAAAGGAACAATCTGAAAAATTTTTTATAAACATAAATAAATGACAGGAAAAGTCAATTATTATTATAAAGTCAATTAAGTTTAATTTTAATTAATTCAAAATTAATTACAACTAACCGACAATCTGATGTTTTCTCATGGTAAATAAAATACATAAAAAAGGGGAAAAATCCAAATAAATAAATAAAATCAGTGTAGCCTGTGTAGGTTTCAATTTCTACACTATATACATATATTTTGTTTTGTCATTTTCCAGTACAAATATCTAAACATCCTTAAATCAAAAATACAAGCAAAGTTACTTAAAATATTAAGTCATGTTTTCTGAAAATAAGATTTTTTTCTGACCCCACTGATAGTTGCTCTTATTTTAAGCATAAAAATTGATAAAGACTTTTTACCTTTCAAGTTAAGATATTTGTACTGGAAGACAAATATAGAGAATCATTTGCGCAGTGTGTTACTTTGTTCACTTGAATACACACACCTTCAGTAGTTTTGTTTTTAAAGTAATATTGAGTGTTTTTTTTAAAGATCGTATCTTCAGACGTAAAGCTAAACTGGTTACACAGCTGCTGTTGTTCAGAGAATGAAAGTGCAGATATCTGATAGCAGTATGTGGTGAAAGCCCTGAAATCAACACACAAAAGTAATGAAAAGGGAAACATGCCAAACCCTCAGTATTACAGTTTTTGCCTATTGCTTGAACACTATAGACACATGCTTAGACCAAAGTAACATGTGTGAGTGTGTATGTGTGTGTGTGTGTGAGAGTGTGTCTGGTCAGCTGGGTTGTAAAGTCCAGATCAATGCAGGTCAAACAGCACAAAGGTTTCCTTCCAAAGGTCAGAGGTCAGTCAAGTCCGTCTGTCCGAGACTCTGATTAAATGTGTTTAGGATGCAAACAGCCAGTGATTTTATGCCATTTATACAAGGATTCTAATAATGCTGTTAAAATACCAACAAAATAGTTCATTTCCAGCCCTAGAAAGACTAATCTAACATTTAACTTTGAGATGAACGAGTTTGATACCATTTTTAGTGTGAAATGAAGAATATAGACAATATATGGAACTATATGGGTGAATATTAATCTGTCAATAAATTATATTTCATCCAAATGTTTATTTAAATTTTTTTTTTTTTTGCATTTAACATCATTTGATTATTAAGTATGATTATAAAGTATATAAATGCATTACAATAGCAAGAATTTAGTGTGTAATGTGTTTAATTTGTATTAAAATAGTATCACAAGCCTTGCTTTCTTTAAGCAAAACAGTTTTTCAATTCAAATGTGCATGTTGTGCATGTTTTCATTACATTTACATATATTAGACTACATTACGTTTTATATTAGTATCATTGAGATACTATTATAGTTTTTATTATAATAATATATTGAATTAGTTTTCATTTTAATATTTTCTTTTGTTATTATTATTATTTTAGTGAAGGTTTGAATAATGTTTTTTTTTTTTTTTACATTTTTGTTCGTTTTTTTTAACATGTCTTTA